TCGACTCAATGACAATGGGTTTGGTTTTGGTTTAAGTAGAAACAGTTTCTGATGCCCTAAAACTGAAACTATAGAACGACAGGTAAAACAGCCAAAATCAAACATCGATAAAATTAACACTACCATAGATAATTAATTCACGTTAGAGAAAAGCATATTAAAAACCAAAAAAACAACCAAACTTGTTTCTGTTGAGTCAGTTCTACTCAAGAGAGTAAAATTAATAAGAGCTTATAATATGGGTCAGCCTTTTTTCCCTTGAGCAGCTGATCATGTGAATCTGTAAAGGCTGTTATCCCAAATCATGGAAAACAAATAATTATCCTCATTATTGTTTTTGGAGCCTTACTGATTCAAAAACCTGTGTTCTTAATCACTGAGAAAATTTAATGTTATTGTATCACTTTGATAATAAGCCATTTATTGTCCAAGGAGCATGCCATCATCTGCAGATTGAAAAAAAAAGCAAAACCAAACCTTTGGATCTGAGGTAGGCAGAGGTAGCCACAATTATAAAGCCTCTAATATTAAATATTTTCCTGGAATTCCACCCATTTATATTCTTAGATGTGGTGTTGGCAGTAAATTTTATCTGTTAAGTTCCCCTCTATTTTTATTTACTTTTTAGAGGAAAACAGTTCTTTACCAAACTTTCAGTAATAGCAGTTATTACAGTACAATACGTCATTACAACTCAAGGTTTGTTAGAGTCCAGATCCTTACATGGGTTCCCTAGAATAGGAACCCCTCAACCAGAAGTTTGGATGAAGTGCTTAAATCCATGAGCCCCAGCAGTTCGGGGCGGCAGCTCTGATGAAGTAAAGAAGGTCCATGTGATGATCAACAGCAAAAATCATTTCAGGTTCAAGGCCAAGGATCGCAAGTCATAAAGATAAACTCCTTTCCCATTTATCAAGGATTTCCCCCTAAGCATGCTGATTATCCGTGAGTTTTTTCAAAATTGTCCCTAATAACAATCTACACAGCTGGTGCTCCGGGGAGCGTTTGTGTGTTGTTTCCTCCAGCCCCATCACCGTGTGGCATCACAGTTCTGGTGTATAATTTTCACTTCCACCACAGTGAAATTTAATTTTGAAAATCAATTCTTTCAGGTATGATGCCAGCTTGAAATCCATTCCTCCTCCAGATTTTGGCACTCCGACACTGCATTATTTTGAAGACTGGGGTGTTGTGACTTATGGAGGTGCGCTCCCTGCAGAAATCAACAGATCTTTCCTTTCTTTCAAGTCAGGAAAACTTGGGGGGCGTGCAATATATGACATTGTGCACAGAAACAAATACAAAGATTGGATCAAAGGCTGGCGGAATTTTAATGCAGGGCATGAACATCCTGATCAGAACTCATTTACCTTTGCTCCCAACGGTGTGCCTTTCATTACCGAGGCTCTGTATGGGCCAAAGTATACCTTCTTCAACAATGTTTTGATGTTTTCCCCGGCTGTGTCAAAGAGCTGCTTTTCTCCCTGGGAGGGTCAGGTTACAGAAGACTGCTCATCCAAATGGTCTAAATATAAGCATGACCTGGCAGCTAACTGTCAGGGAAGAGTGGTTGCAGCAGTGGAGAAAAACGGCGTGGTTTTCATCCGAGGAGAAGGTGTGGGAGCTTATAGCCCCCGGCTCAGACTGAAGAATGTTCAGAGGAATCTGATCCTCTTGCATCCACAGCTTCTCCTCCTTGTAGACCAAATATACCTGGGAGAGGAGAGCCCCCTTGAGACAGCAGCAAGCTTCTTCCACAATGTAGATGTTCCTTTTGAGGAGACAGTGGTAGATGGGGTCCATGGGGCTTTCATCAGGCAGCGAGATGGTCTCTATAAAATGTATTGGATGGATGATACTGGCTACAGTGAGAAAGCAACTTTTGCTTCAGTGACATACCCTCGGGGCTATCCCTATAATGGGACAAACTATGTGAATGTCACCACGCACCTTCGAAGTCCCATCACCAGGGCAGCTTACCTCTTCATAGGGCCATCTGTAGATGTTCAGAGCTTCAGTATCCATGGAGACTCTCAGCAACTGGATGTGTTCATAGCCACTAGCAAACATGCCTATGCAACTTACCTTTGGACAGGTGAGGCCACAGGGCAGTCTGCCTTTGCACAAGTCATTGCAGATCGCCAGAAAATTCTTTTTGACCGGAGTTTAGCCATCAAGAGCACCACTGTCCCCGAGGTAAAGGACTATGTTGCAATTGTGGAACAGAACCTGCAGCGTTTTAAGCCAGTGTTCCAGCTGCTGGAGAAACAGATCCTATCCCGAGTCCGAAACACTGCTAGTTTTAGGAAGACTGCTGAGCGCCTGCTGAGATTTTCAGATAAGAGACAGACAGAGGAGGCCATTGACAGGATTTTTGCCATATCACAGCAACAGCAGCAGCAGCAAAGCAAGTCAAAGAAGAAACGAAGGGCAGGCAAACGCTACAAATTTGTGGATGCTGTCCCTGATATTTTTGCACAGATTGAAGTCAGTGAGAAAAAGATTCGAAGAAAAGCTCAGATTTTGGCACAGAAAGAACTGCCTATAGATGAAGATGAAGAAATGAAAGACCTTTTAGATTTTGCAGATATAACGTATGAGAAACACAAAAGTGGTAGCTTGGTAAGAGGCCAGTTTGGACAGGCACGGATGGTGACAACTACTCATAGCAGGGCCTCATCACTGTCTGCTTCGTATACCAGACTGTTCCTGATTCTGAACATTGCTATCTTCTTTGTCATGTTGGCAGTGCAACTAACTTATTTCCAGAGGGCCCAGAGCCTACATGGCCAAAGATGTCTTTATGCAGTCCTTCTAATAGATAGCTGTGTTTTATTGTGGTTGTACTCTTCTTGTTCCCAATCTCAGTGTTAGCACTGAAGCTATAAATTGCTTGATCGTTTTGTGATCAGAAGAGTTTGTGCAAAAAATATATACACATATTTCCCTAGTTGGATATTGGATTTTTTTCTCAGATGCATTTTAACAAATTGAGGGGAAGATATTTTCAGACAAGGATGCAGGGACAGGGAGAAATCAGGATTGGAGCAAGCAGAGAATACATCAAATGAATAAGAGTAGCTCTGTTGTCCCTTGATGGTTCTGGAAGTATTTTGCTTTGCTAATTTGGGAGGCCATATAGTACTACTCGTAGAAATAAAAAATGTGGTTGTAAGAAATATTTTTTCTTAAGAGAAACAAAAATGATTCACATAGATTTGAATTTGATTAATCTTAATTTAATGCTGTTAGCAATTTCCAGATGCTCTTTTATGGAATAGACTGAAGCACACAATTCTAAGAAATAGAGAATTTTTTTTAATGGTGTAGTCATGTGGAAAAATAAGTGTTGCTGAGTCCTGGCATGGTGGTATCAGCTTCCTTGGAGAAATTGTGCTTAATTAAGTGCACAGGATCTTCTCATTGGTTTATTACTCAGATAACATAGTAAAAATGATGGCAGAAGATCATTAAAAACTCAAAATGTATTTCCAGTAGAAAAGATGTATCTATGAATGAATATTTCCTTGATGATGTCATTCTCTGCACACATGTAGTTGATTGCTTTTATCTATTCATCAGTTGTTCAGTAGGTCAGACAACTACAGATAACTTAATTTCGCATTTACCTTTTATGGAAGACTTTTATAGACCCAATGACTAAACTATTCAAAATAAAATATTTTGTATCCTAAAGGTTGATTTCAATACCAAAGAAGATGGGGAAGCTAAACTTTGGATGATTTTATGTTTTTTTATAGAAAACTTCCTTCAAGTTTATTTTGCTAAATAAACATCCTAATTGTGATTTTTCTATAGTGTCTTTCTCCTTTGTTACATTACATTCTACATGTATGAAACTTTTTCTGAAATCTTTGAAGAGAGATGTTTATTTGGACATGCATTAATTAAACTTATAAAGCAGTGTTTGAATCAAAAGAAGTAATTTCTCTGTTTATTTTACCTTTTTCTTGTTTATACATGTAAATAAAAAACTAACTGAATATTTAAGTAACATTAAACATAAAAACGTACAATTTTCATAGTTATTTTCAATCAAGTCTTCAGGAGATAACAGCAGCTTAGAGTATTGGAGACATATTCCAGAGTTTATACAGTAAATTCTGCAAAAGCCAAAACCTATGTAAGGCGGAAACCTGTCAGAACAGGAAAACTCAAATATTTTCCAGTAAAACGAGCGATGCAAAAGTGGTAAGATCGCACCCTATCAAACACGGAAAACTAGTGAGATCTGGAAAAACAAGGCAGTCCCGTAGAGTTCCAGCTCTCAGAGGTTTCACTGTACTTAAGCATAAGAAGTTGCTATACTTCAAAGGAATTTAAAAGATCTTACACTGAGCATATTTGAGTCTTTAATATATTTCTCCCTTGAAAACAGAAAATATGCTCAGCTCAAGTTTTAAAAGTAAGGATACATTCATAGGTCTAAAATAGTGATCTGTTCCTGTTGTCTTTTTTGCTCATGGAAATACCAGTATATAACCAAAAACAAGAACAGGGAGAAACTCTTACGAGCACCTTTTTGCAGTTCTAATTTATACCTTCTTACATAAAGAAAACAAATTTTGGCTTTTAACTGTGCTTCACTCATTACACTTGGAATCTAGAAAATGATTTCTGAGGAAGTTTTTTTTCCTTTCATGTAAAAAGTCTCTAGGGAGGATGTCATTACACACTGTTTAAAAGAATAATGCTTCCGTTTGTCCTGCATGGATGCTCTTACTGGGATTTAAACTTGCTTTATGTGACAGATTCTCCGTTTACTTAACCTCATTCGACATTCCTCTCTCCTACTCTTTCTCATTCAAAAGGATGAATTGTCTGAAATGATCAAAAGGAAATTTTGAAAAAAAACGGGAAAATTACTCTTTGAGACTACTGAGCAAACCTGATCTCAGATCCAAAAGGCAGACATACTTTCTAATGGAGATGAGAAATGCAAGCAAACACCAACCCCAGTTTTCCTTTTGTTTTCATGAGGTTAGAACCAGGCAATCAGTCACCATAGCATGATTCAATCTAACAATTAGTTCATTTTAAAAGTCGTTTTTAAAAAGATGGTAATCTTGTGTCTTTAAAAAACAAAAGGAATTAAAATGACATGTGGACTTTTTTCCTCTTTTGAATGGACCTGGCATTTATTTCACTTAAGAAATTTCTGCAGACAGTGGCGTAAGTGGTTAAGTAAAAAAAAAAGCCAAAACAAATCAGAGCACTTCATAATGAGACATGTTTTATATCAGGAATAGTGCATATTTGAGTAAAACTAAGGAACTCTTTGTATCTTCAAGAAAGCCAAGCAACGTTAAATCTCCCTTGAAACTGAGTAATCAATTATGGAATCTGTTTCAGTGCTGCTCACTATGAAAGGAGTGTTTCAAGTTTATTGGATAATATGTGAGCTGTTGTTCTGGAAATTGGCAGGACTTTTGGTCCAAGCCTTAAAGAAAATTTGAGAATCTTTAGCATACAGAGCTTGTCTGTGCAGTTAGAAGTAGTAGATGTGAGAAATACCCTTGTTTGTAACTGACTAGCTTAGAAGCAGACATGATGATGGATCAGATCTGTCATCTGCTGAGAGAACATTCTTTTGTAATTGTTAATAAAGTCAGGTGGAAGACCCTATTCTGGGACTGTTGTAATAATTAAAATTTCTTCTGTCACCTAGAATATTGAATTAATTCTTCCACCAATGTTTTAGCCATCATACTTTTAAAGAAATAACCAGTGTTCCAAGGCTACTAGAAAATATGTTTCAACAGTATCAGACACACTTAATATGTTTTTAAAAAGGAAAAAAAATTACATCATAAGTTACTGTGTACTTAAAAAATTCTTGGTAGTTCACAAACCACCCACAAAGGAATCTGTAATTTTGTCAAATTTTAAGAGAAAGTTATGAAATATATTTGTAAGTTAAAAAGTGAATGCTGTTTTTCCTTAGAAGTATAAAATAAAATTCAAGTGAATATAGTCACAGGCCATGCAGTTTATCATCCAAACTGGGACACTTTTGAGAGCTAAAGGAAGAGCAATTAATAATTACTCTAGACAAACATATCTAAACCAGGGACTGTACTGGGCAAACTGAGACATACGGTCATCTTTTTCATAGGTTAATTCAGGAAATAAAAGGGGTTAGGGAGGTGTGTGAAGGTCTAACTTTAAGTTTACTTCTAAGTTTAGTGCTAAAAAAGGAACTTTAGATAATCTAATCAAGCCCCTGAATCTGCAGATGAGGACATTGAGGCTTAGTGGGCAAAGGAGGTGGATCCTCTCATTCCCTGCCCTGTGCTTGCTTGTTCCAGGGCTTATTTCTGTTGGCAAAGCCCATTAGCTTGATTCTTTCCTCTTTAGGTTCATGTTGAGAAGGGGTCAGTTTCCACAGTTTATTTAACTTACTGGTAACGATGACATGTTTTTCCAGCAGTGTTTCAGCCAGATACTTGCTTTATGCTGTCTAATGTCAATGAAGTACTGACAAGTTTTCAAGAAATGACCAAGAGAAATCATGCATTTATTTCACTACATGGTCTAAATATTTAATTTGAATAGAAGGGTTCAGACTCTGAGTTAAATGATACATATGGTCGCTATGTCAGGAATTAAAATGGATGAAGTTGCAGTATGCCTTTCTTTTATGTTCTTTTTCTTGAATATAGATTCCCCCCCCTTTTGTTTTTGGGGTTTTTAAAAGAAATTTTTATCAGTTATAAGCATTCATGATAGAAAAGTAAAATAGTACTATAGGATCGCTGTGAGTCAGAATCAACTCAATGACAGCGGGTTTAGTAGGCCTATATTTAAAAAACATTCCTTGTCCTCTCCCTTCTCACTTCTGATTTTTGCTTCCTAGAAATAACCGATTTCTGATATCTTAGCTGTTGCATCATTTATTATATAAGAAGAGGATTTAGCTCTCTTGTCACCCATCCGCATTTCTTAGTACATACTTCCTATCCTCCGTGGCCCAAATGGTCAGCTACTAACCAAAAGGTTGATGGTTAGAATCCACCCAGAGGAGCCTTGGAAGAAAGACCTGGCGATCTACTTCGGAAAGATCATAGCCATTGAAAACCCTATGCAGCACAGTTCTATTCTGACACATGGAGTTGCTTTAAGTCAGAATCAACTCAACAGCAAATGATTTTAACATCCTAACACAGCTATCATAATTTTTGTTAGGTCAATATTCAGTATTTATATGTTAAAACTATGTAAATATGACTCATAGATTAACCTTGCAGAGTACTATTATATTTCCTTTTTTATACAACTTTAATTTTCCCAGAGTTAATAATTATTCCTTTTTTCTCATTTACTTTCAAGTAGTCTCCCCATTTTATTCCCAGTCTTTCCAACAAAAGTGTGACTCTCTTATCACATCTATCAGGTAATCTGCCAGTTCTTTTGTTTTGGAGCAGGCCATTATAGAGCCCTCCTTCCCTCTTGCACTAATCTGAACTGCTGCACATTGCTCACCCTGAGAACTCCTTTCTCCATCATTCTAGGGCTTTTCCTCGCCTCTCTTCTTTGTAAATCTTCTGTTTCCTGAATCCCATATTCTCCTTTTTCTTAGCTAATGCTTCATTTTGGTGGAGCATGTCCTTCTGGAGATTCCTGAGAAAGGTTGCTTGGGGAGTAAATATTTTGCCTTTTTCCATGTCTGAAAAAATATTCTTTCTTTCACTTGACTGAGCCTTTAGCCAGCAATTCTAGGTTGGAAATAATGTTTCCTCAGAATTGCAAAGGTATAGCTTTATGACCTTCTGGTTTCTGGAGTTGCTATTGGGGGGGGAGTCCTTTTCTGGGTTTTCTCTCGGACAGAGCGATTTACTCAGAGAGAACCATCCAGTCGCCTCCCTGGTTGGTTTAGTGGAAGGATGCTAGGGCAGTGGGTTATTTATTAGGCCTAACTGTTCTCAAAGTCAAGTGGAGGAAGTAGGCTGAAGATCTCACTGTTTGGTAAATAGACACTCACTTATCCTCTGATTAAGTACAGCACCTCCACCCACAGCTGTGCTGTGTCTTTAAGTTCAGAATCCCTCTGCTTAGTCTCTGCGGGTCTCAAAGCCTTATCTTCTGCTTGAGTCTGTGGTTGCCCAGCTGTGGTTCTGTTTCCAGCTTCATGTGCATTACTACCTTCAGAGGTTGTTGTTGCTGTGCGCCATCAAGTCAATTACCTGCTGCCAATTCCTGACCTTCCTTGTGGTTCTGCTGAGTCAACTGCCTTGTTTATGACAATTCCAACCCCATTCTTCTACTTATCTCCTATTTAGTTTTCATCTCTTCCCAACTTCCTCAGTCTTATTCTATTCTCCATTTATTCATTCCACAAATATTTTTTGAGCATCCTCTAAGTCCCAGACACTGTTCTGGTACTTAAAATACTGTTGTTGTTAGGTGCTGTTGAATTGGTTCCGACTCATAGCGACCCTATGCACAACAGAACAAAACACTGCCCAGTCCTGCACCATCCTCACAATCCTTGCTATGTTTGAGCCCATTGTTGCAGCCACTGTGTCAGTCCATCTTGTTGAGGGTCTTCCTCTTTTTTGCTGTCCCTCTACTTTACCAAGCATGATGTCCTTCTCCAGGGTCTGGT